CCCCCAGTGGTCGACAACGCGTGGTCAACCGTGTCTCCCGCAACTCATCCCTCACACCCTGTCCACGCAATGAAAACCAAAAAAGAATCCCCCTCGTCCTCACGTACCACCCCACCAACCTCCGGATCCAACGCATCATCCTCCGACACTTCCGCCATCTGCAATCCGACCCCACCACCAAAGACATCTTTCCCTCCCCACCCTTATCTGCTTTCCGGAGGGACCACTCTCTCCGTGACTCCCTTGTCCGCTCCACACTCCCCTCCAGCTCCACCACACCCGGCACTTTTCCTTGCAACCGCAGGAAGTGCTACACCTGCCCCCATACCTCCTCCCTCACCCCCATCCCAGGCCCCAAGAAGACTTTCCACATCAAGCAGATGTTCACCTGCACATCTGCCAATGTGGTATACTGCATCCGCTGTACCCGGTGTGGCTACCTCTACATCGGGGGGACCGCTTTGCAGAACACCTACGCTCGGTTCGCAATAAACAACCGCATCTCCCAGTCGCAAACCATTTCAACTCCCCCTCCCATTCCTCAGACGACAAGTCCATCCTGGGCCTCCTGCAGTGCCACAACAATGCCACCCGAAGGTTGCAGGAACAGCATCTCATATTCCGCTTGGGAACCCTGCAGCCCAATGGTATCAATGTGGATTTCACAAGCTTAAATCTCCCCTCCCCCTACCGGATCCCAAAACCAGACCAACCCAGCTCGTCCCCGCCTCCCTAACCTGTTCTTCCTCCACCTATCCCCTCCTCCCACCTCAAGCCCCACCCCCATCTCCTACCTACTAACCTCATCCCTTGACCTGTCCGTCCTCCCTGGACTGACCTATCCCCTCCCTAACTCCCCACCTACACTCACCTTTACTGGCTCCATCCCCGCCTCTTTGACCTGTCTGTCTCCTCTCCACCTATCTTCTCCTTTTATCCATCTTCCATCCGCCTGCCCCTCTCTATTTCAGAACCCCCTCCCCCTTTTCTGAAGAACGGTCTAGGCCCGAAACGTCAGCCTTCCTGCTCCTATGATGCTGCTTGGCCCGCTGTGTTCATCCAGCCCTGCACCTTGTCAGACCATATTGAGATTTCAGGGCTAGCGGTATGCCACAGCACCATCTGCTGGCCTTATTGCTCAATGTGTAGATCTGAACAGAACCATGATTTAGATCCTGAGGGTTTGAAATTATCGGCCATTCATAGATCAGGGAGAACACTGACCAAAAGTGGGAGCATTTCTTGGGAAAAAAAGAGATCTTTCAAAATGTGGTAATTTTGCAAATATTTTCTCTTCCTTGTCTTTGGGCTACTGTTTGTCCAAGAGAATGTATTGAAAACCACTCAGATTTCCTCCCATGGTACTGAAGTGGATTTTGGGAGTGACCTCAGGACGTCAACATACATTTGTGTCTGAGTAAACAGTTGCGATTGGAGACTTCACTGCATAGAGAATTGCAGTGGTAAACATGCGCAAAATTATATATTTTTTTCCCCGCATTGCCTTTAAAATATTGCCTAGACCGTGACTTTATTTTGTTTCTAATGCAGATTTTCAACACTTCTACTTATTGAGACAATGCCTGTTGGGGATCATTTCCTTTTTATTGATTCAGTGCTTAGAGCCTACCTGATTTCTGCATCCTCTAAGGTTTTAGAGTAGATTTGTAGCTTGGGTTTTGCATCCTTATATTTTTGATTTGCATACTGCCTTTACTTCATAAAATCATAGAATCCGTACAGTGTGGGGGCAGGCCATTCAACCCATCGAATCCACACCGACCCTCCAAAGAGCATCCCACCCAGAACCACCTCCCTACACTATCCCTGTCGCTTTTCATTTCCCATGGCCAATTCACATAGCTTGCACATCTTTTGACTATGGGAGGAAACCGGAGCACCCGGAGGAAACCCACGCAGACATGGGGAAAACGTGTAAACTCCACACAGTCACCCGAGGTAGGAATCGCAGCTGGGTACCCTGGCGCTGTGAGGCAGCAGTGCTAACCACTGAGGCACCGTGACGTCTGCATTTAAATCCATTTGGCTCTCTGAGGAGCCTGTGTAGAGGCAGGGAATTAGAGTAGGAGGGAGAGGGGAAGCAGCACGGCAATCAGAAGAGGGAGAAAGTGAAAAGTGGAAGGCAGTGAAGAGATAAGGTAAGGTGAGCACGACAGAATGAGGAGGTCAGAAGACGGAAGCAGCAAGGGGGCAGGAGCATGAGAAACAGCACACGGGATGAAGCAAGGGACTTCGGAGAGCTGGTGAATGAGAAGCCACAAATAAGAAGTAAGTGATAAATAGGACCAGTTAGTTTCAAGGCAGCCAATATGTTTGTTTTTATTTAAAAAGTTTAAAGACCAGGAACATGACTCACCCTTATTATGCTTTCTTGTAAGAGTATTTTTTTAAAGAAATATTAGGAGTGCCAAAGGATGTGCTAATTTATAGTCATAAGGCAATGGATGCAGACACATCAAGTATTTTTAATGCAGAGATAGATGAATCCTTGATAACCAAGCGGATGAAAGATTATCGGGATATGCAGGAATGTAACGTCGAGGTTAAAATCAGATTACCAATGATCTTACTGAAAGGTGGAGCAGGCTTGAAGAGTACAGTGGCTGAGTTTTGTTCCTTGCCTGTATGTTCATATTTATCACTATCATACTGATTATGTTGAAGAATTTGACATGCTAAGATGATCCAGTAAAGTCTATCTTTAATTGTTCCTGCACATTTTGAAGTGATTGACAGCACAAACGGAAAAAACAAGATCCTGTGTCCTTTTTATCTGGGAGGAAGAGCTTTTGCGAAAGAACATTTAAAAATTAGTGAAAATTAGTTTCAGTAACGTGATGTGATTTGTTTGCAACACATGTCAGGGAGGTGATGGCCTAGTGATATTATCGCTGGACTATTAATCCAGAGACCCAGATAATGTTCTGGGGACCTGGATTCGAATCCTGCCATGGCAAAGGGTAGAATTTGAATTCAATAAATATCTGGAATTAAGAGTCTAATGATGACCGTGAACCCATTGCCAATTGTCGGAAAAACCCATCTGCCATCCTTACCTGGTCTGGCCTACATGTGACTCCAGACCCACAGCAATGTGGTTGACTCTTAACTGCCCTCTGGGCAATAAATGCTACCTAGCCAGCGATGCCCTAATCCCATGAATGAATAAAGAAAAAAAATGTTTAAAAAAATCAAACTATTGTATGATGTAATCAGTTCAGTACTTAAATATTCTTTGTTTAAGTCAGTTGTGATTTGGATGTAAAATAAGTTTTTTTTTATAAATGGTTTTCCAACATTCTTAAAAATCCTTATTTACACCAAAATATTTTAGAAACCTTAATTTTGAAGTTTTGTTTAGCAGTGTTGATTTCTTCCATTCTATTTCATAAATATAGAAATAAAGAAAATAGGAACAGGAGTGGGCCATTCGACCCTTCCAGCCTGCTTCGTCATTCAATATGATCATGGAAGATCATCCAGCTTAGTCCCCTGTTCCCACTTTCTCCCCATATACTTTGATCACTTTATCCCTTAAAAACTATATCTAACTTCTTGAAAACATTCAATGTTTTGGCCTAAACCACTTTCTGTGGCAGAGAATTCTACAGACTCAACTCCCTGAGTGAAGAAATTTTTTCCTCATCTCAGTTCTAAATCGCCTACCCTGTACCCTTAGACTGTGACCCCTGATTCTGGACTACTTAATCATCAGGAACATCCTGCGTTTACCCTGTCTAGTCTTGTTAGAATTTCAAAGATTTCATAGAACATAGAACAGTACAGCACAGTACAGGCCCTTCAACCCACTATGTTGTGCCGAAATTTTACCCGAATTCTAAGGTCTATCTAACCTCCACCCCTACCTTATACTATCATCCATATGCCTATCTAATAGCCGCTTAAATGCCCCTAATGAGGCCGACTCCATTACCCTCTCCGGCAATGCATTCCACGCCCCACCATTCTCTGAGTAAAGAACCTACCTCTGACGTCTCCCCTATATCTACCTCCACTCACTTTAAAACTATGCCCCCTCGTAATAGCTACCTCCACCCTAGGAAAAAGTCTCTGGCTGTCCACTCTATCTATACCTCTGATCATTTTGCATACCTCTATCAAGTCACCTGTCCTCCTTCGTCGTTCTAAAGAGAAAAGCCCTAGCTCTCTCAACCTTTCCTCGTAAGACCTTCCCTCCATTCCAGGCAACATCCTGGTAAATCTCCTCTGTACCTTTTCCAACGCCTCCACATCTTTCCTGTAATGATGCGTCCAGAACTGTACACAATACTTCCGATGTGGCCGAACTAGGCTTTTGTATAGCTGGAGCATAACTTCACAGCTCTTGAACTCGATCCCTCTATTAATGAAAGCTAACACACCATAGGCCTTCTTAACAACTCTATCCACCTTGGTGGCAGCTTTCAGGGAACTGTGGACATGATCCCTCTGCTCCTCCACACTGCCAAGATTCTTTCCATTAATCCTGTATTCTGCTTTCAAGCTTTTCCTTCCAAAATGAATCACCTGAGATCTATGAGATCTCCTCTCATTCTTCTAAACTCTAGTGGATGTAGCTCTAACTTATCCAGTTTCTCTTCATACATCAGTCTTGCTATCTCAACAATCAGTCTGGTAAACCTTTGATGCACTCCCATCATAGCCAGAAAATCCATCCTTAGATAGACGACCGAAACTGCACACAGTACTCAAGGTCTGGTCTAACCAAGGCTCTATACAATTGTAGCAAGGCATCCATACACCTGTACTCAAATGCTGTCATTAAGAAGGCCAATATACCATTTGTCGTCTTCACCAACTGCTGCACCTGCATGCTTGCTTTCAACAACTGGTGTACAGGGACACCCAGTCTCGTTGTACCTCCCCCTTTTTCCCAATGTATCACCGTTCAAAGAATCCACCTTCTTGATTTTGCTGCCAAATTGGATAACCTCTCATTTATCCACAGTATGCTTGATTGGCCGTGTATCTTCTCACTCGCTCAACTTGTCCAAATCGTACTGAAGCATTTCTGCATCCTCCACAGTTCACCCTCCCACCTAGCTATGTAGCCTGCAAACTTGAACATATAAAATTTAGTTCTCCCATTTATTTCGTAAATAGATATTGTAAATCATTGTGCTCCAAGCGCTGATCCCTGCACTATTCCACTGGTCACTGGCTGCCACTCACAAAATGACTCATTTTATTCCTACTGTCTGTTTCCTGTCTGTCGGCTAGTTCTCTGATCATGTCATTACACTTCCCAAATCCCAGGGAGGGTGAACTATGGAGGATGCAGAGATGCTTCAGTATGATTTGGACAAGTTGAGCAAATGAGACCTTAACTAATGATTTCTGAAGGTCCAAGTAAACCACATCCACTGATTAATTCTACTAGGTAAATCCTCTCAAAATTCCAGTAGATTTGTCAAGTATGATTTCCCTTTTTAAATCCTTGCTTGCTCTGTCTCTGTTTTCCAAAGTGTCTGCTATTAAATCTTTTATAATGGACTCCAGCATTTTCCCTAATATCAACGTCAGTATAATTGCCTGTTTTCTTTCTGACTCCTTTTTGAAATAGTCGGGTTATATTAGCTACCCTCCATTCCATAGGAACTGTTACAATATCTATAGAATTTTGAAAGATGACCTCCATTGCATCCACTATTTCTAGGGCCACTTCCTTTAATACTGTGGGATGTGGATTGTCTGGCCTTAGACATTTGCCAGCCTTTAATCCCATTAATGTCCTCAATACCATTTCCCTACTGATGTTCTTCATTTCCTCTCTCTCATTAATCCATGTGAGACGTTATTTGTGTGTTCCTTTGTGAAGGCAGAACCAAAATATGTGTTTAATTGATATGCTTTCTTTGTTCCCATTATAACTTTACCTGTTTCTGATTGTAAAGACTTGCATTTATTTTCACCAATCTTCTTCTCTTCACATACCAATAGAAGCTTTCACAAACAATTTGTATATTCTCTGCAAACTCGGGCTTGATCTCTTTTTTTCCTTCCTTAAATAATCTCTTTGTTCTCCTTTGCTGAAATCTAAACTGTTCCCAGTCCTTAAGTTTGCTGCTATTTTCTGGCTAATTTGTATGTCCCTTCCTTGATCTAATACTATCCCTAATTTCCATTCTTAGCCATGGCTGGGCCACCTTTCCCATTTTACTCTGTGCCAGACAGGAATGAACAATTGTTGCAGTTCCTCCATGCACTCTTTAAATGTTTGCCATTGCCAATCCACTGTCATCCTGTCAAGTAACACTCCCAATTTATCATAACCAGTTCACATCTCATACCATCATGGTTTTCTTTATTTAGATTCAGGGCCTTAGTCTCAGAATCAACTGTATAACTCTATTTTAATTAATTCTATCATATTATGCTCACTCTTCCCCAAGCGGCCTCACATGGCTAGATTGCCGATTATTCCTTACTCTTTTTATAAAATACCCAGTCTAGGATGGCCTGTCCTCGAGTTGGTTCTTCAATATGTTAATCTGAAAAAAACATCTCAAACACACTCCAGGAATTCCTCCACTTCAGTGTTGCTACTGATTTGATTTGCCCAATCCATATTCAAATTAAAGTCACTCATAATTGCAGTTGTGCCTTTGTTGCTTGTGACTCTAATTTTGTGTTTAATGCCTTCCCCAACATCACCACTACAGTTTGGGGGTCTATATACAACTACCACTATTGTTTTCTGCCCCTTGTTGCCTCTAAGCTCTACCCATACAGATTCCACTTCACTGGAGCTAATATCTGTCCTTACTATTGCATTAATGACTCTTTAACCAGCAATGCTACCCCATCTCCTTTTCCTCTTTGTCCTTCCTAAAAACTGAATACCCCTGGATAATCTGTTTTCATTCTTGGTCATCCTGCAGCCATGTCTCTGTCATCGCATGATATTATATACATTTATATCTACTTTCATGACCAATTCATCCATTTTATTTAGAATTTTCTGCACATTAAGACACAATGCCTTAAGTCTTATCATTTTAACATTTTTAGTCCTAGTTCACATTGTTTAGCACTGTGGCTTGAATTCTCTACCTATCAATTTTCTTATTTCCAATTCTGTGTTTTCATTTGCCCTTGTTTCTCTCTCTACTGCCTCCCTGTTTAGATTTCCATCCCCCTGCCATTTAGTTTAAACCCTCTCCAACTGCACTAGCAAATACTCCCTACAGATCAGTTCTGGTTCTGCCCAGATGCAACCTGTCCAGTTTGTACTGATTCCACTTGCCCCAGAACCGATCCCAATACCCCAGCAATCTGAAACCCTCTCCCTTGCACTGTCTTCAGCCACATATTCATCTGATATATCCTGCTTTTTGTACTGTAACACATGGTATTGATAGCAATTCTGAGAGAACTACTTTTGAGGTCCTTTTTAATTTGCTTCCTAACTCCCTATGTTCTGCTTTGAGGATCTAATTCCTTTTCTTACCAATGTTGTTGGTACTGATATGTACCATGCATATGTCATGCAGACACGCCAAGATATTTCTGAACTTAGAACCCAGTCTGGGCCCGAAACGTCAGCTTTCCTGCTCCTCTGATGCTGCTTGGCCTGCTGAGTTCATCCAGCTCTACACCATGTTATCTCAGATTCTCCAGCATCTGCAGTTCCTACTATCTCTGATACCATCTTGTAGATTCATTTCTGGCCACAGAATCATCTATCTGTTCCCCTTACAATCGAATCTCTAATTAGCTCTTAAATCTCTTATTATTTTCAAGGTGTACAGGGGAATGTGGGATGAATCACAAGTCATCTTAAAATGCAGACTTGAAGAACCTTTCCACTTTGATTTGGATTCTAATATGGAGCCGAGAAAAGAGATGGTGTTATTTGACAAACCAACAAAAGGAACTTCCATGGAGGAATTTCGAGAAATGGTGTACAGTCTTTTAAAGGTAGGTCTTGGTATATATTTGCAAATTAGTACAAATATTACTTTGAGAACAGACCATATTATTGTCTTTTCCTCAGGCAAAACTTGGTGATCAGACAAACCTTCAAAAGCTACTCAAGTTGGTTGTCACTGTAGCAGATGGAAATAAAGATGGTCACATCTCTCTCGCAGAAGCAAAATCTACATGGGCATTACTGCAACTTAATGAGTTTCTGATCACGGTAATCCTCCAGGACAAGGAGCATACACCAAAACTTCTTGGATTCTGTGGAGATCTTTATGTAACAGAGAAAGTCCACTACAGTTACCTGTATGGACTCACTATTCCGTGGGTTTTGGAGTTCTTCATTCCTTCTGGTTTGAGGCGTAGTATGGATCAGTGGTTTACTCCCTCCTGGCCCAGAAAAGCTAAGATCTCAATAGGCCTCTTAGAATTTGTTGAGGATGTCTTTCATGGAACATTTGGTAACTTCCTTATGTGCGACATGAGTGCAAATAACATTGGTTACAATGTTAAACATGATTTAAAAATGATAGACATGAGAAAAGTTGTACCGGAAGTTAGTTTCAAACAATTAATTGGAGGCCGCCACTGCGAGACTGATGTGGATTGTGTCTATGGCACAGACTGCAGAACAACTTGTCATCAAAGCAAAAAGCAGTGCTCCACGGAACTGGATCAGCCAAACCTGACCAAAGTCTGCACGTTGCTGAAAGACTATCTTTTAAATGGTGCTCCTCCTGATGTGAGAGAAGAACTGGAAAAACAACTTTACTCTTGTATAGCTCTCCAAGGAGTAGCAAGTCAAATGGAAATGGAACACTCCTTGATATTAAACAATCTAAAGACATTACTGTGGAAGAAAATTTCTCATACAAAAGATTCCTAAACACTAAAGGAAAATTCTTCGTGTCAATTAAAAATCATTTGGGAAGTGGGTTTTTTTTTTTTGGCAGATCCTCCTGGTTGGTTTAGTTTGACCATGTAGCACAGAACCGTGTTATTCATAATATTTCCATTTTGGTTACTGTTAAACAAAAAAACTAAAACCACTAGAGATTTTGTTTTTCGTTTTGTGGTTCTAAATGTTGCTGCTTTTCTTTGGTAAGAAAAAATTACACAGCATGAGAAGTTTTTAATGTCTTTTTTAAAACTATTGTTTGTAGCATGACTATTTATTTGCAGAAGAGAATGTTGGTTAATATTGACACTCATTTTAGCTTAAATAAAATTACATGTTTATATGGTAACTGGAAAAAAGTCTAAATCAGGAAGAGATCGCTGTTACTTCTATTTTAGAATAGCAAGAATTTTGAAATGCTTTAGAATTTCAACTATATAATTAGATTACAAAAGCTGGTTTACAAAAATATTGTAATTGAGCACTTTATATTCATATTCATTTCATTAATCCTGTTGACTGTACAGTATTTAAAAATACCAAGCCAGTTTTTATGTATATAAATGGCTACTAAAATTCTTTCTGCTCCTTTGTCCAAAAGCTATTTGATAAAGTACCACATAAAAGAGTACCACATAAAAGATTACCACACGAAAGCTCATGGTGTTGAGGGTAATATATTTGTCTTGATAAAGGATTAGCTAACTAACAGGAAACTAAGAGTCATGATAAATGGATCATTTTCAGGTTGGCTAACAAATTGAATCAATTACTTACAATCCATGTCATTGACTTGGATGAAGGGACAAAATAAGTTTGATGATGATGCAAAGTGGGAGAGCAAGCTGTGAGGAGGATACCAAAAGCTGCAAAGGGATTAGGTAGGTTAATTGAGTGAACAAAAAAATTGACAGATGAATTACAGATGTGGGTAAGATTAGGTTATTCAATGGAGAGAGGCTCCAGAATGCTGTAGTACAGAGGGATTTGGCTTTCTTTGTGCATGAAACACAAAACGTTAGTACACAGGTGCAGTAAGTAAATAGGAAGGCAAAAAGAACAGTGTCCTATATCACATGAGGCATGAAGTATAAAAATAGTCTTTCTACAGCTCTTAACAATGTTCGTGAAACTACACCTTGAGTACTGCATACAATTCTGATCTCCATAGTTAGCATTGAAAGCAGTTCAAAGAATACTCAATAACTAATTCCTGGGATGAAGGGTTCATCATAAGGGAAGGTTAAGCAGGTTGGGGCTACGTTGATCGGAGTCTAGGAAAACGAGAGGGGACCTTTTTGAAAAATACAAAGTTCTGATAGGGCTTGATAATCTAACTACTAAGAGGATGTGTGCCCTTGGGAAGGAATTTATAACTAAGGGACATAATGTCAGAATAAGGTTGTCTCATTTAAGACTGCGATGAAAAGGAATTTCTTCTGAAGCTTATGAAATTCTCTACCTTAGACAGCTATTAATGCCAAATCATTAAATATGTTCAAGGCTGAGGTAGACATTTGAGATTTGAAGAGGAGTCCAACCAAGTGATAGAAAACAAGCAGAAAAGCAATGTTGAAGCCAAGATCTGATCAGCCATTGAAAGATGGAGCATGTTTGAGGACCCTAATGGTAAATCCCACTACAATTTTCCTCTGTTATTAAAAGTTAAGCTTTGGCATTCTGTATCCCAGAGGCTGTGGATGCTCCATCAGTGAATATACTTAAGGCTTGGGAATATGCTTTTGGCCCCTCAAAGAATCAAAATATGTTGAGTAGGCAGAAAAACAGCCATGATCATGTCGTCACCCTTATAGTCTTCAACTACTTCAGTTTATGTTCTTCCTATCTCGCCGTGATCACATTTGTTGTTTGTAGGAGTTAGCTATAATCTATATTGGAGCATCTTAAAACTGCTCCACTGATGAAAAGCAATTTGGGACATTCTGAAGTCATGAAGGATACTTAGAAATACCTCTCCTTGAAGTCAGAGAGTCAAACTAAGCTTTTGTTACTCCTTTGCAATCCTGCAAAGTACTGAAGTGTATGTATTTGGACTGTCGATGGTGGCAGTTTATTGAGCCACACCATTTCTCATTGGGGAAAAGGTGACAAACTGGGGGCTTTGTTTTATCCCACAACAGACCTAGCACCTTAAAGTTTGCCTTAGTTGAGGTCATCAGTCAATTAGCAATAAACATGAGATCAGGTCTGGGATCCTAGTTGTCATAATGATTTCCCTCAGTGTCGCTGCATGGTTGCCACTCACTCAGTTCTTAATACCAAAAAATATTGCTTCTATACTGCCGGCCCAAACTGTTACATTGTTATTGACTGTCCCTGTTGCCTGGCCTAACTACCTACACTACCATGTTTCAGCAGTCCATCCCACTGATTTAACTGGCTTTTTGCAATCGATATTGCTGTAATTGCCAAAACCATCATCTCTGCGATTTTACTCTTGGCTCAGTCACGTAATCTTCTCCAACATCATTGCTGCATTCTTCAACACCTGTGAAGTAGGCATTTCTTCTGATGACGGTTGCTGCATTTTTAAATTTTCCATAGCTGGATGATCGGTAGAAGTTGTTGTTCCTCTCTAAATCAACCAATGAGCAATTAATCTGTTTCCAATCGACTAGGTCTAAGTAGTTCAAAGGAACACAGCCAGTGGTTGAAAACCATTTTAAATGCCTAAGCACACAAATTGAAAAAAACACAGCCTGGGGCTATATAGGTTGAAAGATGAAAGTTTGCAGAAGGGATTCACAGAAGTAAGTTTCCTAACAATGACAAATAGCTTAATAAATACTAAGCTGTTTGATGGGACTTTCATTTCCAGTAAGTGTGCCATTTATTGGAGACTTGTGTTCCGATATCGTTAACAGGTAAGCTGTTCTATAGAGAAAACAAAAAGTCTCGGGCATCCTGTTTGTAAGCTTGATGTAGTTAAACAGGTACTGTACATAAATCCACTAAACAGCATATTGTGTGTCTTTGCTTGTGAGTCACATTTTCAGTAAAACGGATCCATTTTATTCACAGTATGTATGGTCAATAAATTCTGAAGGGTTAGGTTTACTTGACAAGCCTATTGTAAATTAACCACAAAACGTTGAGTGATTGAACATCACAGTGATTGGAACATTGTGGTAAACAACTTTTTTTTTCCCATTTTAAACTGTTGCTTAATCATGAAATTTTAACGACACATAATCACAAAAGTCAGTTTGACATATTTTAACTTTTTTGGTCAATCAGTTCATTTATATGCAAGAATTATTTCAGACTTCTAGCATTTAGATATTCTTTAAAATTGCCATTAAATAATTTGCAAAGCCTCCTGCTTTGACACTTGTTTATCTAGTTGTTTTCCCAATTTGTTCTCTGACCCTCCTTTTAACTAGGTGCAGTGTTTGAAGATAGATGTGGCTTTGGACTCTTAACAGTACTCTTTGTAACGATCATTATTGATTGTGCCTTACAAAGCAAGGCAACTAAATATTTCCAAAGAAATAATGATCTGCTTTGCTATTACACATTACTGTTCTGAGGTCTGTTGGGGAGTTGTGGTTGTTATCTCAATTTTCACTGAGAAAACAGTTAACTGTACTGAAGTCAATCAGATTCATAGCAGGAATTTGCAAGTTTCAGGACCCCAATTAAAAGGAATTAGGAGGAAATGCTTGGACTTCTTAGTTTAAGATCTCTCACCATTTGTTACAATCAGTGACATCTGGATACTGTATATGACAAGGAAAATAATGAAAACACTGGGTGACTTAATTCAAAGATTAATTATAATTTGAGACAATCAGAACATTGTTCTTAAAGTCATGTAACAGCCTGCATATATTGTGCTACTGGAGTATTCCTGGAGTTTTTTCTCAGTGGATGTTGCATAAATCAGAGGCAGTCCATTTGTAGTTTTAACGTGTGACATTTGCATTAACATGTGATTAACTGTTATCTTGTGGCACACCTCACACTTCAAATGATGACCATCATTACTTTTGGAGTATCCCAAGGATCTATCCTCCAGCCTTTTTTACTTTTATGCTGCCACTTAGCAAAATTACCAAAAACACATCAGGTTCCACTTGTATGCTAGCAATGCTCAGTTTTATCTCCCCATTCTTGAACCCTCCAGTTTCCAGTGTGTCATAATGCTTGTGTAAATTCAGTGGTTGGATGAGCAAAAGTTTCCTCCAACCAAATATTGGAAAAGTTGAAGCCAATATCATTGTCCCCAAATGCAAACTCTTTATTCCTTGACCTGAAGTGGAGTTAGACCATCCATAACCTTTGTGTTTGATACCAACTTCAGCATCTCACAACATTTTCACTTAGAATCATAGAGTCAATGCACAGAAACGGACCTGTTGGTCCAGCCAGTTCATGCCAACCATAATTTCAAATTAAACTAGTCCTATCTCCCTGCACTTGACCCACATCCCTACAAACATTTCTTATTCAAGTACTTATCTGAATGTCTCTTAAACATTGTAACTCTACCCACACTCACCACCTACCTCAAAAAGATTTTTCCACATATAAACCAGGCTGTGTTTTTTAAAAAAAAAATGCCCCTCATGTCTTTTTAAAATCTTTATCCTCTTACCTTAAAAATATGTCCCCTGGTCTTGAAATGCCCACCCTAGGGAAAAGACACTTGCCATTCACC